TAATATATTATTTCATATTGTTAAAAGCACAAGTATGTTTAATATATTATTTTATATCGTTTTATTATTAATTTATACACCCTTGACAAGGTCTAGAAAAGTGCCAAATAATTATGTGACAATTATTGCTAAATTGTTGATATTAATAGTGCATTAGTGCACAATGTACTACAGAATTTACTATAATAGATTCGAATTGATATTATATTCTTTCTTTCCTTGCCAGAAACCAACATTTCGTATGTTTCTTATGCAAATTGAACGCGGCAAATTCAAAATTATATTTAACAGAATTTCAGACACATGGCTCAAGTAACAATCATATTTTCACTACATTCTTTCGCAATTAAAGCGCTTAAATAACAAGTCAAAATATAACTATTCTTACCTGTGAGATCTGAATAACATTTTACGAACTTTTCCATGCCTTTTCCATCATTTGGGTTTGAAATTTCGATAAGTTTCTTCACCATGTAAGACATGTAAATGTGCTTTCAAATTTTTAGCACAAAAATTCGAAACGACGCTATCCCATGACACTTTGCGCTCCGACACTTAAACTAGGCACCAGGCCTCCAGGCAATGCACGAACTATTGCTTCAGTTGTCATGTATTAAATCACAGTTAATATTAACTGTGATTAAATATAGTTTCTCTACGAATATAAGGAATATTTACAAATGTTTTCAATCAGTTACTGACTGTTAATTAATTTATTGATAATAAATTCTCGGAAAATGAATATTCTCTACAATGATTCAATAAAACATGGAAAGAAATCAACTTTAGAAATTAAATTAGAATGTAGTTATATGGTATCAGGAATGATGGAAAGGGGGTGGGGCAAGGTCTCCTTTCCTAAAGGGGGCAAATGTAGCATTTTAATATAAATAAAACACAATATTTTTGTCCCAATTTTACTTTAATAACAAATTAATTAACAAAGATAAATATGATAGAAGAGAATTTGTATATTTAATTAGCTATTTCCCAAAGTCCTGGGTCTAGTCGCAAGAATCCCTTGTTGGAGGGACAAAAAAAAAGACAGCACACATTTAAATTAAAGTTTAATGTAAAAAGGAGATATCTCATTTTTGGTCATGTAAAAAGTTGATATTTTATAGTAGATACTTCTACTCTTTCACATATTTGATGCCTGTCTCCATATATTTTGTCCCTCCAAATGACCCCAGAATATGCACTGAGAAAAGGCTAATTACGTGAATATACTAACCCATATAGAATCTAAATCCAGGATGACATTTGACATCTTGTTAAAAGAATATTGAGGAAAAATATATGATTTTGAGAAAAAAATGCAAAAATTGCAAAAGATGTTATATTTAAATTTTAACAAATTTATATTCATTCTTCGAGAAAATTTAAGTAAGAAATAATTTGTTATTAACCATCATTTCTTATGTTAAGAATTTGATTTCTTGTTTTAAAAATTATCTTAAGAAAATGATTTGATATGAAGATGATGAAATCGTAAGAAAACATTCATATTTCAAGAAAACAAATGTATGTTAAGAGAATTTTTCTTATTTCAAAAAATGTCTTGCAAATCAAATACTTCTAATTTTAAGAATCATTTTTCTAATTAAGAAAATTAGTTTCTCATTTCAACAAATATATTCTTGAAGTAAGAATTGTTTTCTCAATAAGAAATTATTTTTTTGCTGTGTAGTCGAGATACTGTATATAATTGACAGACAATTGGCATATCTATATATATCTGCAATTTTTATGCAGATATTTTGCAGATATTTTGACAGACAACTGACATATCTGCAAATATCTGCAACTTTTATGCAGATAGTTTGCAGATATTTTGACAGACAATTACCATATCTGCAAATATCTGCAACTTTTATGCAGGTAGTTTGCAGATATTTTGACAGACAATGGACATATCTGCAAATATCTGCAACTTTTATGCAGATATTTTGCAGATATGTTGACAGATACTCAACATATCTGCAAAATATCTGCAACTTTTATGCAGATATTTTGCAGATATTGTAGACCTTGTTGCAGTTATGCTGCAGTACTGCAACAGATATGTGACAGATACTTGCAGACATTTTACATATATGTCAGTTTGGTAAGGGCATTTAATTCGTTACATTTTTTGGTATTCAAAATGGTTGTTATATATTCACTTCCGACTCCGATTACTATAGTGAACTGCATATACGTAATAAACTATCATGGAAACTACGATTATAGGAACTAAAAAAGGTGAAATATTTTGTGGGATACGATACAGGGGAGGGATTGAAAATGAGTAGGAAAGTATTAAAAAATTGGGGTTGCCCCTTATCACATATTTTTCAGTTTGAGACTGCCCCCAATTCAGGCAAAAATATTATTAATGACCGGTCCCTTATCATTACAAAGACCGGTCCCGTATCAATACTTCACGATTTTGTAACCGCGGGGTGTCCCCCCAAAAATTGGACACTGTTTGATTTCATGCAACGCAAATGCTATAAAAGCTATGGCAATGAAATAAAGATCATTGCGTTCAGAAAGGACTGACTTAGATTTTGATATATAACACTTGAATAGTTACGTGCAATATTGACTGCGCTATCGATGTTTGAACGTTGAACTACTGCTTTTGAAAATGTTAAAAATTAGCATCATTAAAACAAGCTTTTAATTACCAATGTCAGTAGCTATACTTGTTAAAAGATAAATATTTTTATTTTGGTTGTATCTCGCTCAATATTGCATCTAAATTCAAGTATATATATATATATATATATATATATATATATATATATATATATATATAAATTCAAGTATATATATATATATATATATATATATATATATATATATATATATATATATATATATATATATATATATATATATATATATATATATATATATATATATATATATATATATATATATATATATATATATATATATGCACATTTGGCAGAGTGCTCAATGGATATCCAGAGCATAATTAAATAAGTGCAACGACTCAACAAATTCCACTAGGCATCTTTATTACTATTAGTTTCGTACCACTAAGATGTGGCACTCATCAGATCAATTAGCCTTATGACTACAGCAAAAAACCTACAGTTATTATTTATGTACAAGTGGATGAAAGCTTTAATTTAATCCTATTTACAAAGCACGCAAAGCAATTATTATGTTACTTGATAAAATTGACAGGACGTGGAAGTATTACATCCGAAGTATAAGTATTATATATATATAGGTATATATCAATAATAGATCAATAATAATGACAGATCAATAATAATTACAAACGTTTCGCCAAAACAGGCTTCATCAGTGTAAAAAGTTAAAAACACAAGGAATATATATATATATATATATATATCAAAATCTAAGTTAGTCCTTTAATGCATTGATCTTTATGTCATTGCGATAGCTTTTACGTTACAAGAAATCAAACAGTGCATGTCCAGTTTTTTTTGGGACCCCCGGTAGTTAAAGTCACTTTCAATTTTGTGTACACTGTTCAAACTTAAAGTTACATCATTCTAGGGGTGCACCGGATTTCAAATCTGGCCGGAATTTTCCGGCATCCGGCTTCCGGCCGGATTTGGAGAAAATCCGGCCGGATTTAAATTTCTGTTTTCACCTTAAAAATTCACCAAGAATGGGATAAACCATCAATTTGGCAGCTTTAAAGTTTAAAAAAACACTTAAAGTATTATAAAATATTAAGTTATTAACAAAAAGATGTTTAAAAAAGGTTTAAACACAATCAAAAATCTAAACTGACATGCACTAACTAAAAATAGTAAAAAACATAAACCGTCATTTTGAATACTGATTTATCCCCAATTGTCCCCATTACCGGTTTATCTCAAATCCGGCCGGAATTTTTGTCCAAATCCGGTAAATCCGGTTCCGGCCGGATTTGAAAATTCCAAATCCGGTGCACCCCTACATCATTCTGTAGTCAGTCAGGTAGATAAGTGGGAAAAACTCACCTGATCAGGGGCCAATTCTATTTTGCCTTCATCTTGTGCCTTCAAGGCTGGTAAATACATTTCTGTATGTAGGTTGCGTTCAAATATCTCGTGCATGTGCTCTAGGGCCGGCGAGAGAATTTGCGGGGCTTGGGGAAAATCTTCCCTGGGGGCCCCATGAAATCATATTTTCAAGCTAGACCTTAGCTAGACTGCATGTGGAGGTACTGTAAGGGGCCCTCAATTTAAAAAATTATCCGACCAATTTAAAGAGCCTACTCAATTTTAGGCTCTCACTCTCAAGTTGGGGCCCTATAAAAGTGGGGGCCCCCGCGGCTAGTAGCCAGTAGTATTTTCAAGTAGCCAGTAGTTTTTGACTACTTTTTTAAAACAGTAGCTGTAGTTATAGTGACCTATACATTTTGCCTAAAAGTAGTCAAGTAGTTGACTACTTTTCAAACAGCGAATCGCTATTCGCTACTTTTAAAAATTGCTATAGCAACTTGATAGAATAGCATGATATTGAGACACGGTTTGCTTATCAATACTCAATAGTCGATTTGCACTCCTGAACACTGTAGTGCTTACAAAAATGTTGCTTTGTGTTTCCTGTGCTACTCGTAAGTCGATTTGTTATAGCCAGGTTACATTACAGCCTGAGTTAGTAGATGCTCCAAATATAGTAAAACTAAAAAATATTGCGTAGCGAAATAGTTTGTTACATTTTTTAAGCAGTAGCTGTAGTGAGCAGCGAACTACCTTTGGCTTTGTTCAAAAGCAGCAGCAGTATTTGTAGCTGACTACATATTTTTGAAGTAGCTGTAGTTACAGCGAACTTCAAAAATTTTGTGGTCAACCCACCCTTGTGTCTCAATTGGTTTATTGACTACATTATATACATCATAGAAGGTATGAGTGTAAAGAAAATAGCGAGTACTATATTTTAACGTGAATATATAACGAAAAAAGTTACTTGTAAACGTTGATCAGAAATGTACGTCTCAAAAATTTATAGTTGTGTTTTTTTGTAGGTTTTTCATATACACCAGAATTCATCAACGTTAGTTTTTCAAAGCCAGACGACCCAAATCGTATCACAGCAAAAGTTCGATGGCGTTTTCGTATGTTGTGTCAATATTTTCCTGCCGTTAATCTTCGTGTTTTGTTGTCAGGAAAGACAAAATTGGAGGTAATGTGATTGCATGCGGGGACGCCATTTTCTAAGTAATGGTTAAAACATGAGCGGCCAGCGATCTTTACCTGATATACAAACTCGAGCCGAGAATTTGTATATCAGATAAAGATCGGATGCTCATGTTCTAACATACTTAAAAAACGACCTATCATATGAATTTATTGGCGATGTAATTTTGAAAATAAAAATTGTCTAAGGCGAGAAAATCAAAGCTGAAGTTTATGTAAATCAGGACAAATCTTGATTGAACATTCATTTCTTTTCAATATTTTTTAAGCCACTATACAGGGTATATCTAAAATGCCGACTGAAAATTGCAAACATCCCAAGGCTATATTTTCCGCATTTTACAACATTTCGCAACGAAACTTTGGAATATTACTAACTTTGCGATGCTCTTTCAAGCTGTGATGAAATTTTTGTCTAGACTTGTCTAGATCAAAATTTAGTCTATTACGCAAATGGTAAATTTGCAGAGATTTTGTCTAAAATCTTATTTCATTATAAAAACTAAAATCTTATTTCATTATCTTATTGTGGTTTCAAAATTGCCTGATTGGATTCAAAAGGGTATTCTATTCTATCATCTCAAACTCATTAATAATTCATGTCATCATGAGTAAATTAGCCAACAATATTGCTTTGTTTTGCTCACGTGATAATACTGGATACCTGATGAAGTACATTGATCCAGTCCTAGGACTGGATCAAAATTAATTCAGTCCTTGGACTCAGGGTGTTAGCCAGGATTTCAAAAGTGGCCGTCCAAAATATTTTTTGGGCGTGGTCACACATTTTTGTGGGCGTGGTCACATGTTTTTGGGTGTGGCCGCAATTTTTTGTTGTTGTGGAATTGTGGTGTTCTATTCGTTGAACCTTTTTACTTTTTGATCCACACATGTCCGTCGATACTTCAATTCAGCCATATTCAACGTGTTTTCGACGGGAAAAAGTATGAAAACATATACCATAAGTAAAGTAAACAGCAGATGACAACAATTCGAAGTATTCAAGAAATATTACAAAGCTTGTAAATTGCTATTTAAAAAAATATTCCCTTTGGCCGTCCATGGCCGTCCATTAAAATTTAGCCGTCCAAATTCAGAAGTGGCCGTCCGTAGGACGGTCGGACGGCCGCCTGGCTAACACCCTGCAGTTGGACTGGATCCAAACTAATTAAGTAGTGATTTATTCGCATGAGATGTCATTTCAAATCCTCCAATTCGGACTGGACTAGATTTCAAATCCTCGCATTTTGATCCAGTCCTCGGCTTCGCCTCAGGCTTGATCAAATCGCGCGGACTTGAAATCTAGTCCAGTTCTCATAGTCGAATTTGAAATATTACTTCATAGTTTTCAAATCCAGTCTCTATTTAGGCCCCTCATTCTAAGGGCCTGTTCACATGATCCCGGGATAAACAACTGCCCCGCGACAAGTCATTGACCCGGGGTACTGATATCTTCTGTTTACATGAACAAAACTACCGCGGGTCATGGCTATAAATACATTACGCGGGAATCATAAAATATTCCCGCCAACGTGAAACGGTGAAATATTGCTAAATAAAAAACATTCTGATAAACGCAAGTCGTATTTTATGTTATGATATTTACAAATAGAACATAGTTGATTATCAGCCGTAATAAAATGTGCTCAATTCATTGTTTCTGGTTGACCAGATCAAATTCTTTGAGTAACATACTACACTTCTTGGTTTCAAACATGATATTAGCGACAATTTTATTTTAATATTATTAGAATCATCACTTATAGATTTCTAATGATATCTTCAATCAAATAACAAGTTTTGTGGAGTCCAACGTGCTCTAAATGTAATTTTAGGCGCGATTTTGATCGTTTTACAAAAAAATCAATTATCCCGGGACAAAGTTGCCCCGGGTCAAAGTGTTCAAGTGAGGAAAAGTTGTCCCGGCTAGGCGAGTGTCCCTGTCTACAGAGGCGAGGCACTCGGGTCAATTCTTGTCCCGGGACAAGTAAAATATCATGTGAACAGCACTATTCTTTTTCTAAGGAGCCGAGACAATTTTTGTCCCGCGACAATTGCTTGCCCCGAGACATAACGCTGTCCCGGGTTCATGTGAACAGGGCCTAAGGGCCTGTTTATATGATCCCGCCTAGACGGGACGGGACGTTTTCATCCCGCCTAGACGGGATACTCGCCTAGTGTTTATATGGACAAAGTACATTACCGGGATGAAGCTATTTAAGTGCTTGACGTCATATTTTTGTTGCAATAAAGGCATTTACGCATGCTCAAAAGGGAAATATTCATCCCGCCTAGCCGGGATGAAGTGTTTATATGGAAATTTTTCGTCCCGCTGCTAGGCGGGATGAAGTGTTTATATGAGAATTTTTATCTCGCTTAGGCGGGATCCCGGCATCTGTTGCCGAGATCCCGTCTAGGCGGGATAAGTGGCGGGATCATATAAACACTCTTTAGAATTTGTATTACGAGCGGGATCTCGGTAAGCATCCCGTCCCACCTGGCCGGGATCATATAAACAGGTCCTAATACGTCCCCAGATGACCCTTGGGTCGATGTTGCCCCAAGGGATGGGAGAGTAAAGATAACCAGCCCGCTGTTTCTTTTTTGTATAGAAAAATTTCCACAAGTTTAAATATCTTGCTTTTGACTCAAACAAAGTGTATGCAGACGATGAAACCTTATTTCCAAACCTTATTCCGTATTCAAACTATGCTCTTCAATTTATAACGAATGATAAGTCGGGAGATCCAAGGAAACGCGTCACAACCACTAAAAGCTTTACAACTCCCTATGGAGGTAAATATGACATACTTTTGACAATTTTTCCTTGCTTGGAGGTTCAAAGGCGCTATTACACTATGCAATTTGTCTCGCAATTTTGTTGCGACACAAGTTGCACGCGAAATTGCAAGGACAGCAACAATCGTGGACAAAACTGTTAATAAAACTAATTAATATCGTAATGGAATTGCATTAACCAAATTGTATATATATATATATATATATATATATATATATATATATATATATATATATATATATATATATATATATATATATATATATATATATATAATATTACATAGAAAATAGAAATATAGCCTACCAAGAAGAACGCAAATGTATCGAAGCCTTTGAAATACATAACCGTGGCAAAAATATTATGAACGGTTGCATAGGTAGAACAATTAATATTTAATCAAACACTGCTTGACCGGACTCGTAGCTAATTGACATTTCAATAGATTTTATAATTTTTTAATTTTTTATTTTTTTCATGAATTTTTAATAGACTAGCTTGTATATAATAGACGTATATATTGTAATAAGTAATATTCCACTGATGAAGCCTTGAACGGCGAAACGACTGCAAAATAAAACCTTTTTAACATCTTTTTATTCCAATTTTATTCCTGAAGAAATTCCTTTTTTTAACCTTTTCATATATGTATATAAAAAATATATGGTGTATAAAAAAACTGAACAGATTTGAAGACACCTTTTTGTATCCGGTTTTTTATGTATATAGGTTCTTTGCGCACTTATAATGTAGAATAATGAAAACAATTTCACGAACTCAAATTTTGTGAACCAGGGGTGTGTGTCTTTTCCAACAAATTAGAAATGGCTCACAAACATAATTTAAAAGTTATATTTTGAGTTAATATATGGAAATCTATCCTGTTTTTAATTACTGTACAAAATTTCAGGCAATTTGGTTTAGTTCAAGCCCTTTAACTATTCACGCAAAGTTACATTTTTCCTAAAAATCATCTATTTGCATGATTAATTAATGCTTTTGCTAATTTGCATATGTCAGCATCATGCAAATTAGGTACAGGCATTAATTAAGCATGCGAATGGCTGATTTTTTAGAATGAAATGAATAGTTAGAGGACTTGAACTAAACCAAATTATCTGAAATTTTGTACAGTAATTGACAACATGCATTTTGTACAGTAATTGACAACTAAATTTTAATTTAAGTAAAGAGAAGGGAATTAAATATAACAGTTAAAAAGAAAATAATGAAATTAGTAAAATAGCAAAATTTGGTTGCGAAATGTTGTAAAGTACAGAAACTATAGCCTTGCGAAGTTTCCATATTTTCAGTATATTTGTATTACGTGCAGAAATTGTTACCCATTTTCGGCTAAAAAATGATTAACAATTTCCGCACGTAATATAAATATACTGAAAATGTGCAAACTTCGCAAGGCTATATTTTCTGTATTTTACAACATTTTGTAACGAAATTTTGCATAATAGTCTGTAAGCAAATTTTGCATTATATATATATATATATATATATATATATATATAATTTATTTACTTTGAAGATTTATGATTTTTTGATTTTTTGATATTTATATATATATATATATATATAGTTTTTCGTTTTACCTCAAAAAACCAAAACAGTCTGATTCATCCGTATAGGAATCATCAGGTGGTGAGTAATTTCGAATTTGTAGGTTGCTTTTATGCTATCGAAAGAATGTGCGAAATGCGTGTAGTCGAAACAATGCTTAGGCGAAACAACGCATGCTTGGGTCATTAGGTTTTGTTAACGACCTTGTTTACTCGAAACTGGTTTTTGTAACGATATTTGCCGAAAATTGCGCTTCTTTTATTGAGTGAATTGTCTTTGTTTATGTCTTTCAAATCCAAAATTTTTCTTCCAAATATGAATTGCAGCGTTTTGATCCCCCTGTGTACGAAATAGCGTGTTTTAAAATTGACCATTTGATGGTATAATCCTGATTGTTTTCTTTTAATTTCCAAATATGTTTCGAAAGTTCTGTTTTGTTTGAGTCTTTTTTATGACGAAAAGATGAAGTGTAGTTGGCGTAACGTTCCTTAAATGTAGTCGCTGTCATACCAATGTAGTGCTTACTGTTGTTCGTGTCGTTCGTTGTGACTGTGGCTTTGTAAATAATGTTGTTGGTCATACATTGTTTCGGTAGTGGGGAAGTGTTTTTGTTGTCACAGTTACAGTTGTCAGTTTCCGTATTCTGTGATTGACTGTTCCTAATTATATGTGCGTTGTGTTTGGTAATTATAGACTTAACGTTGTTCATGCTACTGTAGCTTACTTTTAAAGTGCTTCTGTTGAAAATCTTGTGTAGATTGTGCTGTAGCGGGAAGTGTTTGTCAATTAAACTTGAATTTCCGTCCTATGTTTGTATTAACACTCTTATTCACTCAGGATTCATCGCAACGGACACCTAGGAATTAACCTGAAGTTCAGGCCCTAATCACAGAATAGGGGCTGACACAAAACCTATCTAAACTGTGGAATTCCCGTCCATCTGGTGGACGGGAAATCTGATTGGTTGACCAGCATCATGAAGGATTTTGATTGGTTGCAAGTTTACATAAACAACAGTTTTAAAAATAGCTCGGTCAAGGCGACAAAATATAAAGGTCAAACGCACGTAACAAATTCCATTATCGATTTCTTCCAATTTCTTTTCTTTTATGCTTTATGGCAGAAAATAAATCAAACAAACAGCATTTTGAAAGGGCTTTATCAAAATCTTGGACGAATCTTGGACACACGACGCTAAAACAACAGCCACACTAGTCATGTATTCGAAAGCTTGTTGTTGACAGCCAAGTGCCAACTGGCTTCGCCGGCAAAAATCTTATTTTTAATATCAGGTCCTACCGGCGTTGTTTTCTGAGCTACATCGCCTTCTTCGTGTTACGATTGAGAATTTCTTTGTTGCTGTTGTTAGCCCGTTAAGCCTGGTTCACATATACCTGCGGCATGCCTGCGACTGTATCATTATGCCTCTACTTGCCGCCGAAATACCGGCAAAGTTGAATTCAAGTCAACTTTCCCGGCCTACCGCCGATGTAACTGTGGCACTGGAGGCAATCGGTGAACAAATATTCACATAATTCACGTTTTAAGCTACCGCCGGTATCGTCGCCGGTACGTCGCAGGCACGTCGCAGGCATATATGTGAACCAGGCTTTGTTGTTAGAGTATATCCGCGTCCAGCAAGTTTAGAGCCTGAGAAAGTTTGGCAGTCAAGCTGTGTACAGAACTGACTAATTAAATCTTTGTTTGCTGTTCGGTTAAATAGAGAAACTGACTCTTAATTATATAAAAGTACCTTGAATTTTTAAGTTTAATTATAAAGCAAAATGCACTCTCTGCGGATATGTTCAGGAGAATATAAATTTTTTGTGTAACGAAATCTACCACACTTGTCAATCATATTGCATTGTTGTGTCTAAAAATAACATGTGCGCGTCCCACGGTTTAGACAGGTTTTGTGTCAGGCCCTATTTCAAATTAGGGCCTGAACTTCAGGTTACGCAGGAATAGGCAACGCAACATAATTTGGTTCAACCCACCATTTAGTAAGAGTGTTGATACGAACATAGGACGGAAATTCTTAAGTTTAATTGACAAACACTTCCCGCTACAGCACAAACTACACAAGATTTTCAACAGAAACACTTTAAAAGTAAGCCACAGTTGCATGAACAACGTTAAATCTATAATCACCAAACACAACGCACATATAATTAGAAACTGTCAATCACAGAATACGGAAACTGACAACTGTAACTGCGACAACAAAAACACCTGCCCACTACCGAGACAATGTATGACCAACAACATTATTTACAATTAGCCACAGTCGCAACGAACGACACGAACGACACTAAGCACTACATTGGTATGACAGCGACTACATTTAAGGTACGTTACGCTAACCACACTTCATCTTTTCGTCATAAAAAAGACTCAGACAAAACGGAACTTTCAAAACATATTTGGAAATTAAAAGAAAACAATCAGGATTATACCATCAAATGGTCAATTTTAAAACACGCTATTTCGTACACAGGGGGATTAAAACGCTGCGATTTATGTTTGGAAGAAAAATTTTGGATTTTTAAATACATCAACAAAGACAATTTACTCAATAAAATAAGCGAAATTTTCGGCAAATGTCGTCACAAAAACCGGTTTCGAGTAAACAAGGTCGTTAACAAAACCTAATGACCCAAGCATGCATTGTTTCGCCTAAGCATTGTTTTGCCTAAACGCATTCCGCACATTCTTTCGATAGCATAAAAGCAACCTACAATTTCGAAATTACTCACCACGTGATGATTCCTATACGGATGAAACAGACTGTTGTGGTTTTTGAGGTAAAACGAAAAACTATATTACGCTCTATCTATATGGTATTGACCTCTGTTTGTGTTTCGTAAACCAAAATCTTAAGTTATATTTGCACCCGGTAATCGGTTGTGCACTCTTGTCTACGTTATTCATTTTATTTCTACTTCAAACATGCGACAATTTCGATTCGATTATTCACTAAAGAATATTCCTATACAATCACAGGATGCTTACTCAAAGAATTTGATTGAAAAATTGGAAAGCGTAACAAAACGTATGAGATGGAAAGCTGATTTCTTCCTAAAAGGATCAACGACTCAAAACCAAGGCAACCTTTTCGGCCTTTCGTCTAACAAATCGCCTCCTTCAATTCCATTTTTGAAACCGTTCGAAGACGACTTGATTAAATTAATTGAAAACTTAAAATTCCGGCGTTCTAAAGACCATTTTCAGACATCTTTGGCTAACGATTTGAAGAGAATTAATTCATGACCCAACATTTTCATTTTCGCGGACAAAACTAGAAACATTTACGAAAAGTCACTGAACACATACAACGAACTCTTACATGACAACGCGACGAAAACGCACAAACAAGGATCAGATGACTTCATAGATGAAATGGACTCCGAATTGAAAGAAATTTCGAGTAGATTATGATTTGGCGACAGAATTGAACGAATGAAATAACGCCAAGCATTTATATCTTTAAAAGATCACAAAGAAAATTTCGCAAAGAATCCAAAATGCCGACTAATTAATCCCGCAAAAAGCAAATGCGGAAAACTAAGTAAGGTTATTTTAGATAA